CTCTGATTCCCGAAGTGTTGGGGGTCATGGGTGGGCTTGTGAGGTGCAGGGGTGTCTTCTGCTGAGGACAGCAAGGCTGGTGACTGCTGTTGGATAGTGGATGAGGTGCTTTGCCCCTGGGCGATGCTTTCTTGTCCTCCAGAGCTGAATGCAGCAAGTGGGGAAAGCTGCTGATCTAATAACACGGCTTCAGGTAAAACAACACGTTGCAGGAACAGGAGAGAGGGGTTGTGGTTTTCAAAATGGGTTTTCAAGCCAGATTTCCAAAAAGATGAAAAGCTGTTCAGCAATGACACAAAGGTGCTTTGCAGGCATCGGGAGCTGCAGAGGAGAAAAGAAGCTTCACCCTTAATGAGATTCATGGATTGGATTGAAAAGGCAAGAGCTGCAGAGGAAGGCCATAGGTCTCTGACACCAGCAGATCCCCAGAGGGTGTTGAGAAAAGGAGGATAAATGTGAGTGGCGTACTGAAACAAACCTGTTTTGTCTTAAAGAGCTGATTAATTTATTTGCACTTACTTGGTGAGGCAGGCAGCTGGATGTTATGGGTGCACGGACCTGTAGAAGAACACTCGTCCTGCCCTGCGTGTCTGCGGACCACGCTTCAGCTCGGAGTCGGATGCTTTCTAGTTGTGGTTAGCACCAGGTTGTTCCTGCTGAGAAAATAAATCACAGCCACGTGCTAGTGTCGCTTCCTGACTCCGGAGTGTGCTTCTACCTGTGGTAACCATCATGGAGAGTTCAAGGGCAGCACCCATGGGTGCTGTCTCAGGTGGAGCTCCAGCAAACGCAAGTCACAATGAGCTTATCTTCCATTGGAGTAGGTGTTTTGTGAGCCAGGATGTGCACCAGAGCTTGGGAATGTGCAAGGTGGTATCTGTTGAATTCAGATGTGCCTTTCTTTTAAAGCAATGGGAGTTTGGTGTGTTCTTGACTCACATATCTCATATCTTGATTCACTTATGACACACTGCATCCTGCAGTACCAGAGTGATACTGGGTTATATTTATACCTGTTACCCTATCAGCTGATGCCATCACCGGTGTGGACTGGGTGAGGCACACCTGCTATTTTGGAAAGGAAAATGCTGCCTTCACAGTTGCTGTAAATGGTGTAGCATCTCCCATGCTGGCATTGCTCCTTGCTCGTGTGCCTGACGGCTGTCAGGTTGTGCACAAGTGTTGGGATGGTGATGGAATTGCAGCGGAAACGTTCAGCGTGTGCCCTGCTTGGACGCTGCAGAACTTTCCAGGGAGGTGCTTGTCTGAAAATGGCTGATGCTGTGAGGTAGGGGGAGAAAAATAAACAATTGCAAAGGATAATCCGTGGGCAAACAGTGCAGGGAGCAAGCAGAGACAAGCAGGGAGCGTTCCCTTGCATGCCAGCTGTTTGGCAATGCTTATGCCCAAAGTTTCACATTTATTTCTGCTAAAAAAACCCAACAAAGCTTCCAGCTACACCCTTGGAGAAAGTGTTTTCTTTACTTTTATCTCCCAAACTGGTATTGGTAACAGGTGTAGTGTGGAGGCCACCTGCCCTAACGTACTTATCATGATTCTTCTGCAGCTAATTGGAGAAAATACTGTGGCTGTGTGCCGAGCTGGACATCTGCCCCTTCCCTGTGCAGCGAGACATCTCTGCAGGGAGGGGTCCACAGGGAAACCATGGAAATCCGGTCAGTGACACAGCTGTGATGGATATTGGCAGGGGGATTTAAAGAAGAAAACAAGATGGTGGAGGATTAAGGAGGGAGAAGGTCCTGTGGAGGACTACTGAGCCAAGTCATTTTGGCCTCTTCTGTCACCAGTGTTGGAAACCTTGCAGGTTTTTGTGTTCCTGGGCAGTTCTGTTGCCAGTGACTTTGGACCAGATCATGCTTTCCAGCTCCTGACCTTGACTGCAGTCTTGTTTCACTATTGACTTTTGTACTGGCTGCGTTTCAGTTCCTGCTCCTGCCTCAGCCCCTCTTTATTGCGTGGCCTTGGGACCTCGCTGGGACGTGGCCTGTCTGCTCTTGCCCTGACTTGTCACTGAGCACATCCGTGTTTCCAGGGAAACGTGCTTTTCTGTATGTTTAGGGATGATAGAAATGCTGAGAATTCAGAGATCCAGTCTTTGGCAGGAATACATACCAGAGGGGCAGATCCTGGGATGCATTTTGAAGTACTGAAGTTGGAAGCATCAGCAAATCTTGCAGCTCCTGATGCTGTCCGATTGTTATTGCTACACAATTGGGCTGAGCAGTTTATTTTTTTATTTCTGTGAAGAACAGCAATAACAGTGCCATTTATAGAAACTGCACCACAGAGCTGCTGAATTTGGCTCAACCTTGCTTTTTTCCCTGAGGTCTGAGATGAGTGCTAGCCTTCAGAACCATGGCAAAACCTGAAATTATTGTCTTCTGCTTTCTTTTCCAAATTCTTGGTACTATTTTTTTTTTTTTTCAGATATGGATGTTAATGCCCAGTTTTGTCTGGGCATTTCTACCTGTCTGAACCCTTTGGTCTCCTTTCCACTCCAGTTGTAAGTTATTTGTGCCAAAAGGAGTCTGCAGGAGTGAGTCAGCATCTTCCTTCAGACCTTCAATATGTGCTGGTCGGGAAGGTCAGCCAAAAATTCTGCTACTTGTTGCACCGTGTGGAATCAGCCAGAACGGTGCCTTTCTCCTAATCCAATGACTGGTTAATTTAATTGCATTATTACTAACAGGATAATTACATTAAAAAAAAAAAAAAAACTCAAACTTGAAACCTCTAGCATTTATTTTTATTTTTCTAAGCAATTAGGTAATTGATTAAACTACTGGCTATTGTTAGTGCAATTACCTGAATTGGCTCTTGATTAATAACGACAGGCAAGAAAAAGAGCTGTTTGGGATTAAACCAAAGAACAGCAACAGGGCAGGCATTTAATTTTGTGCAAAATCTGTTGTTTGGATTATGTTACTGACAGAAATGCCGTTGTGTTTCACACAAGCAGTTGTAGACCCCTTGGTGATCATATACCTGATAAAACGAGCGACGGAGTTCAGGGAAAGTGGGAAGCAGGATTAGGAATGAGAAAATCCCTGGATTAATCCTTAAGGACGTAATGCGTAGCTTTGAGATAGCTGGATGAAAGGTACTATATGGGGATGGATGATGTTTATTTGTGTATCAGAGCTTGTGTGTGCTGTAATATGTATAAATAATATTTATTTGTGAATGACCCTGGCTTTTAGCAGTTGGAGAACAAGGCTGGTGCTTATTATTAATTATTATTAATCATTCTTTGCTGCACCTCATTTTCCCATACTAATGACATCTCCTAGCTCAAGCACTGTGCGCAGCAGGTGCGGGCATTTCTTTTTTCCTTTTCTCCTCAGTGCCTTTTCTGGGTGTTTTAAATCAGATCATGGGAATGCAGATGGAGTTTCTGTTCCTTCATCACGGAACGTGAGGTTGCGTGGGTCTAACAGGAAGTCGTCGCGCCGCTCACACGTGTGCTGTTACTCGGCATGAGAAAGCACACGTTCAGCTCTAGTCACCAATAATGGCATGACTTGCTGTCTAGCGATGCCCAGAAATAGCTTTCTCAGTTTTTATATATATATATATGGAGGTAAAATGATTATTTTTTTCACTGTGCAGTTCAGTGACGTTAACCTGAGACTTTTCTGTACTATTGGTTTATACATCCTGGCCAGGACCAGTGGTACAGTCAGTGCTGGGGTCTGCAAAGCTTATTCGTTGCTGGCAGAATTAGCAGAAAGTGCCTGCTGCCTCTTTTATTTTATTTTTTTCCCCTCCTTATCTTTTTTTAGTTTGTCAATGACAAGCCAACTGCTAGCATTTCTGGGAATAAGTGATGGCTGAAGTTATTTGCATTTAAAATGCAGATGAGTGAAAGCGTCAGCAAGGAGCCTTCTGCTTCCTTCCTGGTGCACAGGCGGGGTGCTGGCGTTGGATCAGCCCAGCGAGGCACTGAGTGGAAAATCAAGTTAATTGGGCTAGCTGGAAAATGAAATGGGCTCAGCCTCGTGCTAATTCCTGGGCCTGTGATTTAACGTGACACGGGAGACGAAGGAATGGGAAGGTGCTGAACCACTGATGAACCCAATCACCGGAGCTGTAAATTGCACTTCTGAGATTCCCAATGGCAGATTGAGAGGCCCCAATAAAATTGTGAGAGGTGAATAAAACCCAGCTTGGAAGCAATTTGTCAGGATCTTGGGGCTCGTATGAATTAAAGTTTCATTGTTCTTGTTCTAAAAGTAGTCTGTTGTAACACTGCCTGAATACCGACCGAGACTGCCGTTCTGTACAAGGTGAAGGCTGCCTGTAGATGTAAAACCCTCTGGTTCTCAAACCAAACCTCTTTCAGACCAACCAAGAAACTGGTGCCGCATCTCTGAATGTAGTGTTTCCTTGTTGGAAGCTTAAGGTCAATTTTCAGTATCGTTTATTGATTTCTGGGCCTGTAAGTGCCAGCGTGACCATGTGAGGAATGTTTTGTGGGCTGCCTGTGGCCAAGGAAAGATGTGCAGGATAATCCTTCAGTGCAATTGTAGCAATGGTTGACCTGTTTCCTCCTTCACAGGGCATTGAAAGAATTATACAGCAGAACTTTGGCATGGTAAATGAGGAAGCACACGTTCGTAAAGCCAAGCCTGCTTTACTCTGGCAGCATGTTCACAGAATCACAGAATGTTAGCGATTGGAAGGGACCTCAAAGGATAATCTAGTCCAATCCCCCTGCCGGAGCAGGACCACCTAGATCAGACCACACAAGAAAGCATCCAGGCGGGTTTTGAACATCTCCAGAGAAGGAGACTACATTCCTGTAGCTGACGGTAATACCTCGTACCCCTGCTCTTTGTGTCACACTTGTTTTAATATCTCCATCTCTTTTCTTGTTGTATAGCCATGTTATTGGAGATCACCTCGTCTTCTGGAAGGAGAAACACAGTGAACAGATGAATCTATTCAGCCAGACATTCCTCCAGTAGATCCCTCTCGTCATGGAGCACCACGGCAGGGAGCAGATGGACCCAAAAGAGGAAAGTCCTCAAGTGTGGGCTGACTCTGCTGAGCAGGAACAGAATACTGCGCAGGTGACTAGTGCTTTCTGGAGCTCTTGGGGTCTGCTCAGACTGAACTGGGCTCATGCAGTGGCTTAGCAAGCAGGCATTCTCATTCCATGATTTCTTATAGTCTGGAAATCGAGTTGAGGAAAAAGACAAACATGTCTGTGATGATTTTGGGTTAAAGCGAGCCGTGCAAACCGCAGCAGTGAACACAGACATCCGAAACGAGCTAAATGAAACCAGCCAGTGGCCATAGAAGTTTGAGTGTCCAAATATATTTATAGCCATGTGGGAAAGTGAAAGGGTCTTCAGATGAATGAATATTAACAAAATCCGTGGTCTGTGGCAGCCCGTCTTGATGGCATCAGTCGAATCAGTTGGAACTGTGGGTGAATCTTGGGCAAAGTAAGATGAATAATTTTTTCCAGTCAGACATCTGGGTGGTGGGGAAGGGGGAGATGTTAATTGTTAGTGACTAATGCAGTCAGATTCTGGTGTGTGCAGCTCATCCCTCTGTCTCTGAGACAAAGCAGCTGAGAGTTTCTAGAAGACTGTAAATTGATTTATTCTTTTGAACGTGTTATGAAGAGGGTCCTGCGTGTCACTTGACCTACAAGCTGAGAAATTCTGACTCTCCTGGTAACTTCCAGCTTGGAAATTTGCAAAGAAAGGCGGTTTTCCATGGCCTGTGTTCTGTTATCTATACAACGGGATAACCATGCTGTTATTTGCACATGGCAGTTACAAGGCTTAATTAGTATTTCCAGAGTGCTCTCCAAATGTGGAACACTGCACGCATCCTTACTGTAGTGTTTGCATGAGGATTTATTGTACAGAATCACCACTTGGCATCCATGAGGGAGTACCAGGTGTCTTCTTGAAGGAAAAGGTGAAAGAAAGTAAATAAAATGATGCCACAGGTTTTTTTTTTTCCCCTGATGTTTTTATGTGTGTATGAATACGGTTACTGATAGTAGGTTTCCTGCTAACTGTCTTATTTTACCCATGCACTGAAAATGGTTTTCAGCATTTAAAGGGGGTCAAAAGATAACTCCAGTGACAACAGGAACATGTTTAAGTATTCTGACTTGTTTAAGGCTGACTGACCATCGTTTATGCTCATAATGTTCTGTCAAAATCAACTTGTTTGGATTTAAACTGCTGCCCTAGACATAACGTGTTCCAGTAGTCCTTGGAATCATTGCTTTATGGCTTCAGTTATGTGTTTCTCTGTTTAAGTAGGTGAATTTTCTACTGATACTGGATATACATACTACAGAGAAGCAATCTAACATAGACTATTGCTCCCTCGTGATGGGTACAATGCTATTACTTAAGCAGTATCAAAGTTAAGAGGTTCTGTTAGCCGTTCATCAAACAGAAAAAATTACCTGCAACTACAGAACTAGCTGAAGGAAGTAATTGTTGTAAATCCAGAAAGGAATATGAGAATAGAGGGAAACAATATACCAATAAATTCCATAGATACACCAGTTCAAATCTGAGCTTTTCCTCTTATAAATCTTCAAAGCATCGTGCAAGAGCAAAGTATGGGTAGGTGCCCTTTATACCAGTTAGGTCTTGAGTTAAAATGCAGAGTAAAACCAGAAACTGGTAGTTCATGTCCACATTTTTATGTTGCTGGCATAATTCATTGAGGTTTTCTGTGCGTATTATGCGGTGAGTTTTTGATTGTTTTCAAAACAATTGGCTAGGTAGTTGGGGCAGAAGGTACTCTCTGCTTTCCAAGGCACCTTGCAACCTGGTGTTGTTTCCCATAGGCATATGTTTCAGTACAGGATCTGTTTGTTTTTCTTCCAGGTGCACTTTGTCCCCGAGGGGGGCACAGTGGCACAGATCGTGTACAGCGACGAGCAGGACCGTCCCTCGCAGCAGGTGGTCTACACGGCGGATGGCACCTCCTACACCTCTGTGGACACCTCGGAGCACACACTCGTTTACATCCATCCTGTGGAAGCTACACAGGCACGTGTGGTTCTGAGCCCGCCCCGTTTTGGCACCTAGAAAACGAAGCGATCTTGTTTGGGAATAAAGCTGGTTAGCAGCCAAGTGGTGTGACTGGAAAACAGTAGACAGTTGCTGGTAACGCTTTTAGCTGCCCCTAGCTGAGCAGAGAAGTCATGCTGTTCACTTGTCTGATGTGCAAATGTAGTAATCAAAGGATGTCGAGGATGTATGTGAGTTTTGAAACGCTGACGAGATTATAATTAAATCAAAGGTGTTTTCCAAAAGAAAGATCATCTCTCCAAAATTCTGCCTCTGGTATTCTGTAAAAAAGCTAAGGGCAACTCATGTGTCTTCTGGAAGAGTCCTTGATTTGCGTAGTACGGTTCTTACAACTGATAGTTACAATAGTCAGGCCTTTTTGCAGAGGCTCTCAGTGTGTTCAATCTAATTTTGTAGTCCCTCTTCAGAGAAGTTGTTGATTTTATAGACCTAGGTTCTTTTTCTTCCTCATAATTATATCAAATAGCTTTCATCCCTGGCAGCATGTGTTTGTATGGGGTTAGTACAGTGTGCAGCTGTAGCTCTGTGTGGACAGATGAAAAGAAGAGCAGGAGACACGCTTTGTCAAGAGTGTTTTGTAGTGCCTTTGCTGACAGGAGAGCTTAGCAACGCTACCAAGTGCACGTACTTGATGCCCCGGCCAGCCACACTGGCACAGCCTCCTGCAGCGGGGTCTCTCTCTTGTGCAGTGCTTAGCTGTTACATAAAAACACCACCTACCTGGTGGGATGTTCTGAGAGGATGGGATACTTTGGGAGGATATCTCCCAGGAAGTTACTGAGCAAGTCACTCCAAAGCTGAATATTATAATCTTGTCAGAAGTTAAGACACTGTCATGTCACTGAGATGACATTATCAAGGCACTAATCAAATTTGTATTATGCCAGGCTTTATTTTTTTGGACCAGTCTGCTACAAGCTCAGATTTTTCAAGTTTTGGCAAAGTAATCAAGGCTGACCTTAGTTGATACTCAACTTTCATCTGAGCCTTGCTTTTCCTAGGGGGAAGCTCTCCTCTTGGGGCTCTTCTTGCAGGCTACTGTAGGAATATCGGAGTTGGCATGTCTTCTATGAAATTAAAAAAAAAAAACAACATCCTGGCCATATCAAGTTTGCATGTAGGATATGCCTGATATCTGCATGCTTGCTTTTGCAAAACTCTTGTGAATTTGCAGAAAGGTCAAGTTAATGGTCGTCTTCAGTCCTGCCCTCAAGTGTTACTTAGGTTTCGTACAGCTACTGAATTTCTTTCTGTAGAATTTATGAAATCAGCAATTGACCAAGTGATTTCTGCATTGAAAAAAAAAATCAATAAAAAAAATGCCGTGAAGCACTTCAGGTATATAGATGAGAAGTGTCACATAAATATTTTTCATGGAGCACTAACTAATTTTAGTTTAATCTTTATGCATGTAGGTTCACGTGGGTAAGTTGAATTAGTCTGCTGTGGTGATGGGCACATTAGAAGTTAGCAAAGGATCAAATGTGGGTCGCTTCTTGGTGGCAGGTTAATTTTTGTGTGAGATGGGAGTAAACAACCCCAAGGCCAGTTTGATAAACCTTTTTCACTTTGTCTAGACTCTGTTTACAGATCCGTCCCAAGTGGCTTACGTCCAACAGGATGCCACCACCCAGCAGGTAATAAAGACATCGTTTTCCTTGGGCCTCAAACTGTAAGGAAACTTTTACCAAAGGTAAAGGGACTCTGTTGTGGTGCTAGAGCGTAATAAGCTGTCTCTGAATTTGTCAAATGGCAATCTCCAGTCGTGTACTGGCATCCCAGGGATCAAGGGCAAAAACCTTGTGATAACAAGCTGCTATTATGTTGGCTAGCTTGAGCATGAATGACAGTAAAAGCTAAGAGAGTTTGAGTTTCTTCTTTTTAATTCATGTTCAAAAAAATTACTAATTTATTGCCTCAGATAGAATGAAAAATCTTTCAATAATGTCCCTTTAAATAAGTCAGCAAGCTGATGTGGCTGAGTTCAGTTTAAATGTGTCATTCTGGAAAGACTGGGTTTGCAGTTGTCCTCATACACATTCTGATCCAAATGCCTTCAAGTCCATAAAAGGCTCTCAAGGGATAGAAACTTTGGATCAAATTCTAGATTTACTAGAAACTTCACGGGGAATTAATTGCAAAAACTTGAAGTTAAATTACTGACTCCCTTACCTTAGCAGGGCATCCCAGGTCTGATGTGCTTGCCAGTGTGAAGTGGGCTAGGAACAGAATAAAATTAGAGCCCATATTCATAAGTTGATGAGTTTTGATGATTTTTTTTTTTTATCCCTCCTGGAGGTTTTTTGTTAACTTTTACCAGTATCTTTGGGGACTGCATTGTGGTAATGAGGTGTAGGTGCTTTCAGATCTAGATCTCTAGCTCAAATTATCTGCGTGTCAGAGACCTAAAATCATTGCTTCTTGGTGACTCTTCAATGGCATGTGTGAATTGACATGTTAGATCTGAATCATTTCACTAAAAGGCGTATTTATTGACAGCCTTGGGACACAGTAAAGGATTGAACGTGCACTGAAAACAAATCATCTTCTTGCTAAAAGAAGGCACAGGCAGGAAACGATATGACTGACACAGTAAAGGTGTTACCTGTTTTCTTCCAGTTCTCTGGAGGTATTTGCAGTGTCATTCTGGAATTTTTTGCCGCATCAGTTTCCTTGCAGTAAGAAGCCAAGAAATCCTCTTTATCTATTTATTTTGTTATTTATTTTGTCTTAAAGCTCGTTTAACAGATAAATATGATACATGTGCAGTGCAAATGACACTGACAGCAGGGGTTATGTATCCCGTGTTGAGCATCAAGGGCAGGAGCACTTGTCTGTGTGTCCTCAGCCCTTCCTCCTGTCCAAAACTGTCTGACAGCAGTCCCAGCAGAGATGTTCGTTTGCTTGTGAAGGGTTAGTCCCTCGTTATGGCAGCTCCTGCCTTTGCAGGTGTTTTTACATCAGCATTTCATGTGGGACATCCCTGAACTGACAACAAACGTTAAAATAATAATTAAAGCTCCTCTTGTCTTTCAGAAGCAACTTTGTCCTAAAAAGAAATTGAGAAATTTTTAAAGATAATGCCAATATTCCTTGCAGTGTCTGACATGGAAGTGAAAGTAAGGGTATGTTTGAAGTGTGATTAGTAGTAGGAAATGCTAATACAAGGTACAAATAGACACAAGCTTGTGTGCACGTCTCGTTGCTGGCAGAGCTGGAGGTGTGCCACTGAATAATGATGCCTTTGCTATTGCCACTTGGCATCAGAAATGTCAATACTAGACAGCTTGGTTCAGCTGTTGTCTTGGTGGTTTCTTCCTTGCTGTCACACGGTCCCCTGACATCTTTTTGCTGTAGGTTTTAAGCAGTTTGGTAAATTACTCTTAATGCCTCTTTAAACAAAACGACTAGATTTGAAGTTTTCAGACTGTCTATCTGCTTATGTTATGGATTTTCTTGTCTGCTCCTTCACCTTTGGCACAACTCGCTGTTCTCGGTTTTATCTGATGTTTATTAAAGGCTCTGTAGAGGGGCAGGGGATTTAATTTTAGCATAAAAGCTGCTTAACAGTCAGAGGCACAAACCAGAAGCCACATGATGTCAGCGGTAGAGAAGGATGAAAAATCACGCGGGATAACAGTGCAAACTCCTGTATAGATAAGGAGGGAACAAAAGACAGGAAAGGTGATTCCTAGGATCTGAATTCTGCTTGTTTTGTCGCTGAATGGGTGGTAGCAGTATGGTGATAGGCATTAATTTTCTTGTTATTACACAGAAGAATCAATATTAAAATAACCAAAAATGCATAGCGTGACCAAAGAATGTAAAGAAAAAATAATTGTTGGAATCCTGTCATTTGAGTGCTTGATCTTCCAATGAGGTCAATACACTATCTTGTTTCTAAAACGAATATAGCTTGGCTTGAGAAAGAGAGAGGCAAAAAGAGGAGATGCTTTTTTTTCCTTTTTTACCTTTTCCTTTGGAAAAAAAAGTAAATTTGAAGATAGAAGAGAGAGAGAGACCACAAATCACTGGTTTTACCAAGAGCTAAAGAGCTCCTCGTGTATGTTTTTAGTGCAGTTTGGATGCAGGCAAGATAGGACCTTAACTTATGGCCAAAATGGGAGACAAGAAATTCAAAAGCTCCAAAATCTAGATAGAGTTTTGAAGCCTTTTCCTTTGTCCCTGGATGTGCAGGTTTTGTCCAAGTCTGTCATCCCTACCAAAAAAAACCCAAAAATGCTTAAACTGCTGCAGTTTTTGGCCTAGTCTAGGACTCCAGGGAGCTTTGCGTGCAGGGCACTGCCCGTATGTAAGTGGAAGTGGACTGGTGGAAATGACGCAGTGCTAAAATGAGTGCCTATAATTTTAGGTAACTGTGCTCTTGCCTGCTGCTGCTCAGAGCATGAATCCCACCAACCTGTCCGTGCTCGGCAGCGTTGCCGAATCCCCCCAGCACATGGCTCTGGAGCAGGGTCCACAAGCAGATAGAGTAAGTTGCCAGGCACCCTTTCCTTTTGAATGTCCGAGTGCACGGATTTCATTGCTCCATTGTCTCAGGTGATGGAACGTGTCTGAGGGATACGGGAGGAGATGAGCTGCAGCTCAGATGTGTACTGTCTTTCATAGTCTCACTGTGGAATGCCTGGGGGTCTTTTTAGGGATAGATCATCTATTCAATATATAAAGAAACCTCTTCTACAGATTGTTTGTCTCGAGCAGCCACCTTAACATACTTTTCTCAGCTTTGAAGAGCAAAGTTAGCAGAAGGTGTCATGCAGACTGTCACCTAGGACTAGCATCCACTCGGTCGCTTTGCTAGTCGTTTAAGACAGCTTTACTGAGCGTAGTATTTCTTATTCTGTGCCTGGGAAACAGGCGTAGGTGTTGGAATATTCTGTGCAGTGCACTTCAATTAATTCTTGCTTTTTTTTTTGAAGAGAAACTTTAAAACTAGTGAGAGGATACAATGCCCTCAGCTGTCCTCCATGTCCCATAGTTTATATCTAGTCCCTGTGTTGTCTCATCCCTTATTGATCTCTGCGTGTGTGCTCTGGGGATTGTTTTTGTTTGTTTGTACAATAGAGAAAAGATCATGTGCCAAAGTGCAGGGTTCTGTCGCTTGTATGGAAGTTGTTAAAATACAGCTTTAGGCTCCAGATAATTTCCACAGATCCTGGACTGCTTCAGACTTTCTGTGAGGGTCCAGAAGGTCTGTGATTTGAGTTTCTTCTCCTGAGAAGTCAGTGCTTGGCAGGGTAGAGCTAGGTAGTGACACAGAGCTGTCCCGAGTGAGGCTGTCAGCAGCAGCCGCATCCCTCAATGATCGTTTATCATGCCCCTTCACTTTCCCTTGTCCTTCTTTCCATTACCAAAGGAAGCAGAAAGGGTAGACTAGCAAGAACCTTCATTGCTCGTCTCGTAAGAGTGTTTTCCCTCATGAATCAGTTTGGATTGTTTGTGGATTCTCTCCTCAGGCATCGTTACCGGTGCATAACCAGGTGTTACCTCCTATGGAGGCAGTGGATGGTTCTGACCCTTTGGCACCTCTGCAGAATCAAATGGGAAGGATGGAAACGAAAGAGGAAGATGATGAGGATGAAGATGAGGAGGAAGATGGGGAAGACACTGACATGGAGGAATGGGATCCAGATCCACCTCGACCCTTTGATCCCGATGATTTGTGTAAGCATATGAAACAGTATGTAGTGTGTTAGCTGCTCTCCCCTCTTTGCTTTCCCCTCCATCATCCCTCTAATAGAATTATAGAATCATAGGATGGTTTGGGTTGGAAGGGACCTCAAAGATCATCCAGTTCCAACCCCCCTGCCTTGGGCAGGGACATCTTCCGCTACACCAGGTTGCTCAAAACCTCATCCAACCTGGCCTTGAACATTTCCAGGGATGGGGCGGCCACAACTTCTCTGGGCAACCTGTTCCAGTGCCTCACCACCCTCAGAGTGAAAAATTTCTTCCTTATATCTCATCTAAATCTCCTCTCTTTCAGTTTAAAGCCATTGCCCCTTGTCCTATCACTACACACCCTTGTCCAAAGCCCCTCTCCAGCTTCCCTGTAGGCCCCCTTTAGGTACTGGAAGGCTGCAATAAGATCACCCTGGAGCCTTCTTTTCTCCAGGTTGAATGAAATTGGAAACCATTCCGATTCTAGCAATAATAAAACTCCTTTATACCCAGAAATGTAGACCCCTATTGGGCTGCCTTACTGAAAAGACAAGGTTCTGTCTTAGGTGGAGCCTCTGAGCTGCTTTGTCCTTTGTTTTGCAGGAGACTTCCCTCTCTAATGTTTAAAATGTAGGCAGACTATTGGAATAAATGTTCCCACAGCTGAGCCAAAGATGTTGAGAGAGAGATAAGGCTGTCTCTTCTGAGCTGATGCGTGAGTGTCTGCCTGACAGTCCTGTCCTCTCTGACTTTGTGTTGTAGGGTGTGAAGAGTGTAACAATGCACATCCTTCTGTGTGTCCAAAACACGGACCTTTGCATCCGATCCCGAACCGGCCTGTGCTGACCAGGGCGAGAGCCAGCCTCCCCTTGGTGCTCTACATAGACAGGTTTTTGGGAGGTGTGTTCTCCAAAAGGCGTATCCCAAAACGCACGCAGTTTGGACCGGTGGAAGGACCCCTGGTTAGACAAACCGAACTCAAAGACTGCTATATCCACTTGAAGGTAAGGATGTGCATGCAAGAGAAGAGGGAGCAATTTGGGCTTAAGCTTTGATTTTTCAGGAGTTGGTTGCTCTGCCTTGACCAGTTACTTCACTGGAGATGTTCTTTGGTTACTTCCATCTCTGAAAGTAACTCAGAAACACCTAAATTGCTTTGGCTCCAAATCTGCTCTGGTATTCAGGGAGACCCAGTAATTGTGGTGAATTTTCTGGCATTATGGTGTTATGATATATAGGACTCGTAACGTGGAGTGCTGTGAATCACTCTTCATGGGATGAAGCAGCCTCTGGACGTAAAAACAGCAGCCCCATCTGAGGATGTTTTGCAGCCGTTGTTTTGTGTCATGCTGTAACTTAAGTTAAAAATGTTTTTCTTCCCCTTTCCCTCTTCTCCCCCACAAAATGTAGGGGAGAGGAGAGATTTTCCTCCGCTTTCTCATGCCAACTCATTACTTCTCCCCCACAAAATGTAGGGGAGAGGAGATTTTCCTCCCCTTTCTCATGCCAACTCATTGGCGTGAGGTATAATGGACTTGACTGACTTTTATCCATTTATTTACTGGTTTCTTTATAGGAATTCATCCTTTATTTGCTAGAGATTAGGCCCACAGTCTTAGGAGTGCTGGTCTCTGATGCTCAGTGTCAGACAAGGAGGTTGTGACCACAGGCAGGTTCAGTAACCCAACAGAAGTTCAGCTAAAGAAGCTGCTGCTTCCAGCTTGAGGTGGTGTAATGAGTCAGGAGATGAAAGGAGAAGTGGGGTCTGCTGGTTAGAAGCATCTGACAACTGGTGCCATATACCCTACTAAAGCTACAGTTTCTGGTGCCTCATTTATAGCCACACGTCAAGTACTGTGCCTGACCCTTCTAATGAATGCTTCTTGCCCTTGAAAGCCATGGAAGGGTCCATCGTGTCTCCTTAGCTAAATCTCTGCCTGTTTTTAAGTGTTTCTTGAAATGCTGCCTGTTTCTGGATCCCTGTTGGCAAAGAGAATGCCCTCATTGCTTTCCTAATATAAGAGATGCATTGCTACAGTAGTTGTTGTTTTAGAAGCTCAAATTCTTTTCAACCTGCTGCCAGGCAGTTACAGTCCTGTGTAATTGGATTTTGCTACAGGTGTCTCTTGATAAAGGTGACAGAAAAGACAGAGACTTGCAAGAAGACCTGTGGTTTGAACTTTCTAGTGAGGCTCTCTGTAACTGGATGATGTTTGTGCGTCCAGCTCAGAACCATTTGGAGCAGAACCTGGTAGCGTACCAGTACGGCCACCATATTTATTACACAACCATTAAAAACGTGGAGCCCAAGCAGGAACTCAAGGTATGGCATTGCTCGTGTTTCGTGACTCATTTTTCTACTGGTGAAACCACAGCTTAGAGCTGCTGCCTAAGAAGTGCATCTCCAAGTGCCAGAAATGATTGCTGTAAATAGTTTTAGGGCTTTTTTTCTCTGGTCATGTGCATGATGGCCTGAATCAGAAGTCACTGAAGTCAGGAAGTAGTTAGCCACCAACTTAACGGATTTTTACATGAGCATTGGCTCAGGTATGGAATGAGGAAGTACAAAATAGGGTATGTGCACGATTTGTCTGTCACTGTCATGCTTTGCACTGCATATATATATTTTTTTTTTTCACTTATGCAAACTAATTTTTATGACAGCAGTCTTCTTTTTAGTTTTGGATGCCCTTTCCAGTTAGTTCCGTGTGCCCTTGACCTGTTTTTTGCTGCCTTAAGTAAATATGGTCTCTCACTTTACCTGACTTTCCTGGAACTTTTGAGACTTTACATGTGGAAAATGATAAAGAATATATTGACTTCCCTGTGGGTTAATTTTTGTTCCCTTCAAAAATGTATTGATTACTTTGAGCTCAAAGCAGCGTGGCTGGCTCAGATGGCCTTCGTTTTCAACATCTTTTGGGGAACTGGGAGTAACCAAAAAACTTTCATATCAGGAAATCGTTTCTTCTTTTTCAAATCTTCTCTTACACATCAATTTCAACAATTGAACAAAAAAAAAAGGATTTTTAAACCTACTTAGCTAAACCAGGCCAAAAGCCTGCTTACACACTTGTTGCTGATTTTTTTTTAAGAGTAGGATTCTTCTTGGTTTCTCTGAAATCAGTCCTTAAGCTGAATCACTAGAAGCCTTGTTAATCCATATTAAGTGTATCTGAACATCATTTTCTCAATAGTTTTTAAATCACTTTGAAATCAGACTTTAACAGACCTGTCTGTAGAAGCATCATTTTTCTTGCTTCATGTGTTAGTAATGTCTTTTGGGGTAAAACTGGCTTGATAATTGAAAGCTAATTATCTAGGCTCTGTAACGTGTTCTCCTCCCAAAGTGCATGTAGGGCATTCAAACAAATTTTGTCCAAAGATTGAACTAGGAGGGACCAGTCAGTCCAAGTTGAGAACTTCTGCATTGCCTGACAGGTGAGTAGTTGAGGAGCTCCAGGCTTTCTTCTTTGTCCAGCTAGGGAGATGCCTGCCAAGTAACACACATCTGCTAGGGAGTCTTTGAAGGAGTGAGAATTGCCACTCACCACTCTATGGAAATGCCTGCGGACCACTGCAAGTTTAAACTTGCCCAGATTTTTTGTGCTGAAAATCTGTTTGTGCTTTCTTTAAGAATTCTCTTCTAAAATTGAACCCTTTTAATCAAACAGTAAGTTAAAAATGAGAAATAATGCAAGAATTCTCAGTGACGTGTATCTGATTTTAGGCTCTAATAAACTTCTGTCTTTCTGCCTCCTGTGGTTCTCTCTGCCAAAGGCTTCCTAAATCCTTCTGATCAAGCAAGTGGTTCTAGCATGCTGCAGCTGGGCAGTTCTCTGTTTTAGGAAGCAGGGCCGTATTGCCCCAATCTTCCAGAAGTTCAGGAACACTTTTCAATGAGTTTTGTGGACGGTGCTGCCTATTGCCTATGTAAAGACAGTAGGAAAGAAATGTGAAATCCCCCAAGTTAAAAACTTCTCCATTCCTCTGGGTACAACAAGAAACAGTACTCTGCTGATGTCCATCCTTTACAATCGTACAGCTGAGCCTGAAGAGATTAATCACGTTTCCTTTACAGCTACTGGTAGCCATGTGTGAGATGAACATTCCTGTTGGGAGGCTATACCTTAAAATTAGAGAGCTTTGCTCAGAAAGCATACCCATTTAGCTCCTCAGTGGGGGCATATTGATCTCAATAGGCTTTACTACTGAGGGTGAAAGGAGCAATAAGAGTTAGTGGATAAGGGAAGAGAAATAAATGTATTGCTTAAAACCTGCTTCCAAATGAGTTCCACTTAGTTCTGGTTCCTTCCAAGAAAGCGTTCTCTTATCTTGTATGCTTGCTGCAGGTGTGGTACGCTGCCTCCTACGCCGAGTTTGTGAACCAGAAGATCCATGACATATCTGAGGAGGAAAGGAAGGGTAACGTGGGCTCTTCTGCCTCAGTTTTTGCAGTGTGATGGTGGTTGGGTGCTGTGCTTCTTAGTTTCAAGTATATGGCCTGCGTAGTGCTCCTAAATTTCTGCTAGGTTGAAAAAAGTTGAACCAGATCTAGGTTGTGTTATTGGGACTTATTTCTGTTAACTTTTCTCATGCTAATATTATAATAATTTAACCTTCTGCCTCAGTTTCTGGGAAGCATTAGGTTGCTGCTGGGAAGAGGTATGTTTCTGTACTTGATGTCTAACATTGAATTTGTGTGATAAACTGATGTGCTAGATTGTGAAATGTCTCTTGACCTCCCCTAATTTATGCAAGAGACACAATCCTGTAGGTGCTCTTCCATACAAGGGTGTATTTCAACGTCTCGCTGGATTTTAGGCAGTGCACATAGTCCCTGTGAATTGTCCCCAGTGGCCTTTTAGTCGTTCTGTGATGAGCTGTAGTCATGCCACAGTGCAGAGGGGATGAAAGCAAAGCTAAACGGAGCAGTGCTGGGTACTCTGCAGTCTGTCTAACCTTCAGGGGAGAAATATGGCCCACACAGGACAGAAAGGCTTGGGAAAAAAAATGGGATGTTTAATTGGTGGTGACTGAAGCGCTGTTACTGACATTTCTAATTGAACGTAGTTCTCAGAGAGCAAGAGAAGAACTGGCCCTGTTACGAGTGCAATCGTCGTTTCATGAGCTCGGAGCAGCTCCAGCAGCACCTCAACTCCCATGATGAGAAGCTGGACTTCTTCAGCAGGTACTGAAAGCTTTAGCTTTGCCTGTGTATCCCTATGGTGCTTCCCCAAACTTGCAGGAAAGGAGGGTCTTTGCCCTGCAGATCTTACTGACCAACTTGGGTGCCCGTGGGAGAAGGGCTCAGCACTGGAAGGTAAGAGTATGGCACCAGGAAGCTGATTGGTATAAGGGACTTGGTGAAAGAAGTAGCTTGAGGGAAATAAGTATCCCATTGAAACTGGTGAGATGGTGGTTTGCTTTTGGTTTTTTGTCTGTGCCTTCTTTTTCCTGAAACTTAGCAAGTGGTTGCATTGTTTTCTTTATTTTTGACACAGAAAATTATTCCTTTGAGTTTATTGCCTGACATAAATGGCGAAGTGCCTTTTTGGGAAGGGATGTTACTGCTTTGGGTTTTAAATTTGGTTGCCTTGTGCACTTGTTCCATCCAGCTGAAAATGCTTTCCAGCACACTCTACACTGTGGTGTTCGAAGTAGGAGAGTTGCCATGGCAGAGGACTTGCTAGAAGCCAGTAGTCCTCTCATTAAAATTTATTTCAGGAATCATGGGACTGTGTTCTGGACTCTGATTTCTCAGAGAGCACAAAATAAATAGTTACCAGCCAGTACCTTATTTTTTTGCTGCCAGAATTTCTTCAAGTTTTATTATTTTCTGCAGACTGTTGTTACTGAGTCGAATGGGTGAATAGTGATGCTCAGAAATAATGCGTAAAATCAGCGGAGATTCCAAATCCATCTTTTTTGTCTCTCACCTGGAGCACTATGTATTCTGCAGAGCCAGAGGCCGAGGTCGTGGGCGAGGAAAGAGGAGGTTTGGACCAGGCAGACGCCCGGGGCGCCCTCCCAAATTCATGCGTATGGAAGTAACCAGTGAAAACGGGGAAAAGTGTGAAGAAGGGACGCAGGTATATTTTTGGGGGGATGGAGAGGAGGAAAAAGAAAAAATCATGTGGGATGTCAACTCTTGACTAAAAGAATTGGGATTGTCGGTGCAAATTGAGCATGTGCTTTGGATTTATACCCAAGCAATTGTTTTTCTAGCTGTGATTCTCTGTCAGGGGAGCACACTAATATCCTTCTAGAAAAATCATAAAATCACTTGCATTTCTGCAGCAACTTTCATCCCAAAGCACTTAGGGGGAGGTAGGTTATTGCAGCAGTTTAGCACCATCACAAAAGTAATTTAGACAGTAAAACTGTAACAGGAATTTAGGTTCGTGTTTGTCCTTTCTGGAACGTGAGGTCAGAGCCTGCTCTTGTAACTGTTGCTGGTAGAATTAAATCAGTCTGAGCTCTGATTCTTTATGATGTTTTAATATTAACAGGGCCTCCTGTAGGCGTGCTTATTGCAAAATGTTCTTTTGCTTGTAGCTGTTGGTTATATTCTGTAGGGACCTAATGTGATGCATTTAAGTGAAACGCTGACTTCTCTCTGATGCTGACCATGCTTAGGTTACCACCGAGTCCTTTTGTGAGAGGTGTCAGAAGGGATCAGTGGCTCTGCTCTCTGAGCTGAAAGCTGATATCTGGAGTGGTAATTTTCCTCTGGCATCTCACTGGGTCGTGGCTCAGTGCTGACTGGGAGGGAGGGATGTGTACATTGCCTGTGAAAGCCTGCTGCTCGTTTTCCAAGCATGCAGGATTGCCCTGAATGTTGTGTTGATTGCAGACAGTTGTGAAATCCCCCTCTTTGCAAGCTGACACGACACAAGCCAGCTCCATTTAGACAAGCAAGCATAACGCTGTTCCCAAACTCTTAACTCTGGAGAGACAGGGCTTACTGGGCACAGTCACATGCCAACGATTGGAGTCGCAAACCACCTTTGGACTAGAGGTGTTTTTGCATCCTGCCAGCTTGGAGCGTGGCCCAGAACTGGCTTACATGTGCCTGTACAGTCGAGCAGGGCCATGGTGGTGTCCCAAGCCTTTGGAGCTCTGCCCACCTCACTAATGACTAGGCACGAGTTCATCTGAGAACTTGAGACTCGGGATGCCGTGAGCACAGTTTAGTGTCAGCAAGTGTGGAAGCTTGCCACCTAGACCAGGACTGGACATTTGGCTGGTTTATTTCTCTGCTAAGTGTCTCTATCTGGGAAGCATCCGTGGTTTATAACAGCTGCACTCCTTCTGGCACCTCCCTGGTTTTCTTCTCCCACAGCTGCTTTAGCAGTTTGACAGCACCAGCCTTGAGCTGATATACTCTTGGTGCTTTGTTTCCTAGCTTGTGCTTTTAATTTTCCTTAGTGGCATTAAATGATGTCAAGTAAGGATCTGTGTGTTTGTTTTTTTTTTTTTCCTTGAAATACAAGAGGATTCCATCCCAGAGAAGTTACTGGAACTTACCTGGAAAGAATGTAGATTTTAGGCATGTGCTTCCTGCTCCCAACACCCTCCCTTTTTTTTATGCTAATGTAAAAAAGGAGGAAAGCAGCTTTGTGTGATAAAAATAAGTGATGAATGCAGCTGCATAGATGAGAGTATGCAGAGCTTGGAAACTGGATAGCAAACCACACTGCACAGTAAAATCATCTCCTTTGGCACTCTCCAGTTCAGCTCTCCAGCTAGTTTGTTAGACACTGGATAACTATGTTTGATAATTCCGTGCTTGTCACTTTGGTTGTAAAGTTTCTCACAGGTCATCCTGAGTCACCTTTGGTTAAAGCAGGCATAGTTGTGAGTGCAGGAGAACTTGCTGGGCTGTTAACAGCTGAGTCACTTTGATTGTCCATGTCCTATCAGCCAATATGATGGCCAAGAGTTGCCTACCTGCAGCACTTCTTCCCTGACACTCTGGATGTTGTTGCTGTAGGTGGAGGTGATGTGCTGAGAGCATCAATGGAACAGCCTAGACACGTGTTTATGGCTTGTGATTAAAAATGCAGAAATCTTGTTGTCTGCTGAGTGTTATCAAAGTGTTTTTTCAGTGGGTGGGGGGAATAATCACCGGTTGTATGATTTGCGATTTCAGGACTTGCTGCATTTTTCCAGCAAGGGGCAGTTTGATGAGGCCGGACAAGCCACACTGAATGGGTTGGAGCAGCAGGAACAGACTCCAGTGCCATCAGAGACACAGTCGGCACTGGAGCAGCAGTCGGAAAACCACCCGCTACAAATCCAGCCGCAGCACGATGAGAGCACGGTGCCTGCGCAGAGCACCATGACTGCAGATGACATGAGGCGAGCGAAGCGCATCCGGGTAAGCCAAGAGGATGGTGGATCTCATCTTCTCTCACCCTCTCCATTTGCTGTAACCCAGGGAATGCTGGACCTGCCCGCCAGGACCAGCTGGTCTTTCTCTCACTGTCGTATCCATTTCCAAATCCTGAGTAAAGCGTCTCGTTCCTAGCGATTCTGTTTGCACTGAGAGGAAGACAAATCTCACGTAAAGAGCTAGTATCTCATGAGATGCTGGTGAGAACCAGTCACCAACTGGAGCTGATTCAATTCCAGCACAATAATTCTTTGATAGAAGCACAGTCCATCCAAGCTGGCAAGCAGGAGTGCTTCCAACAGCCGGCTGAGTCATGGTGCTGTGGCACAGAGTAATGACTAGTTCACAGCACCATCTGTGTCTTACAACTCTTGTCTTGCAAATAGTTGCCAAAGAGGAACCATGACCTCAGTTTACATCCACTTAGGTGGTGGTGATGATGATGATGTTTAGCGATAAAGTCCTTTCTTGGGGTCAAAAAACCTGCCTGTCTTTGTGAGATGAAAACCTGTGCCAAGAGCTTTGTGTACTGACAGCAAACGCTTTGAGCCTGAGCTTTGTATCAACTGGGTGAGCTGTTTTTTCCTCTGCTACGTGTGGGAGGGAAATGATTCAAGCAAATAATCCTTGAGATTGATTTATTTAGCCTAAAATCTTTTTCTTCCGTGTGTAAAATTCTGATTACAGAAAGGAACAGCTGCAGTTGGGGTAAGACTTCATTTTTAGGGGATGAGAGGATGAGAAAAGAGTTGAGTAACTTTTCTGGATAGGAAGATGTTGAGCCAAGTTCTGCTCTCTGTTTGTAGCAGCGTGTATGCGAGACCATTGGTGGTGGTGCCCCATAAATGCAGCAGTCTATCTTGAAGGAAGGATTCGGCTCAGGCACATTAAGACTGCAGAATTTTTAACCCTACAAAACGCTTGTGCTCTCTGAATGACAAGTGTCTACCTGTAATTTGATTTTCATGTGTTTAGAAGCCTGGGGGATTTTTACTGAATGTATTGAAGAGTGAGTAACAGAGTACAAAACCAGATGCTGAGTTTTTGACAGTGAAAAGCACAGGTATTTACTGCTTACAATATGCCACAACTTCCTCAGTAGAAAGTTGAGGCCTGGGTGTGATGGGAAGAGAAAGTTTTGCCTGTTTCCCTGAACTTCTGAACCTGAGATGTGAATTTAAGATTTTCTTAAACAGTAAATGTGGGAAGAAAGGGACAAAAATTCTGAAGTTACTTCTTTGTCTTGTGGCTTAGCTTTTATTCCCTGGGAATTCTTTGCAAATGGATGATAACTGAGAAGTGCAGTGGTGGGGTTTAGTCCTTGGTGACAGTTCGTGTCTACAGATCTCCCTAACTCCCTATACATCTGGCAGCTCATGTTCAGCAGAGTCCTGGAGATGTTTTCAAGATAGGGGCATTGGCAGAATGGCAGATGGGTGGTTGCAGAGCACCTTTCCATGTTGTGTCAGACTGTGAGCAACGAGAAGAACTTAAGAGCAGACTAGGAACATTTTTTCTTAGGCACTGAAAAATCACAGCCACCTTTAGCACCCTACGAGCATTTAATTCAGCACTTTCTTCTAATAACATGTGCTTGAGATTATAAACAAGCAAACATTTGGTTTTAAGATGTGCAGTACGTCATTCACTTCGATAGTAGAAAGTCTTGACTCCTGATTACGATCTGGAAACCTATGTAGCTGTAGTTCTTCCTTATTTTCTCATGGAGGATTTAATTTTCAAAACCAAAAATTCTTTGTGAATTGCTTCAACTTTTTCTAAGGTTTAAGGCAGCGATGCTCTGTGAGTGCTTTCATTCTAGCTGGAAGCACTGACCTCTGGTGCCCCAGGGCTCAAGTTCTGATAGGATCAGTTCATTTTTCAGCCTCTTCTTGAGTCATATCCTTAATATTGAAAGGAGATGCAGCCACCCTTTAAGATGCTCGTGTAACAAATGAGAGGAACGTTGTGGTCCACAGCACAGTCACTTCCTTCATGCTGAAAGAAAGGCAACTGGTTGTATAACAAAGGGTACAAACAGGAAGATGAGGTTAAAAAAAGTGTCCTTACTCCTTAACTTTTGTTCTTCTGATCCTTGCCCTGTTGTTATCCTGCCCTAATTACTGTCTTTTGCTAAAAGCATTTCATTCTCACTGTGGCTCTGCAGTACGCATCACATCATTATTAATCAACTCTGATAAAACATGGAAGGTCACAAAACACCTTCAAGATAACCTGTGGGTTTTATGCTTGCCCTTTAACTCCACTTGGGCAGTTATTAACTGCAGGGTGAACCCTGAAGATCTGCTTAGTGCTTCCTACGGCAAAAACCTCCAAGGAGTTTGGCTTAAGTAAAGAGTAAACTCTGGCTAGAAGGGCTGGCGCTCATAGCGACCCACAGAAGTCAAGGCTTCTGTTTCCAAGTCCATTGCATAACATAAGTATTTTTCTCTCCCTCAATGCTGCCTGCTCAGCTGGAGCTGCAGGTAGGTTTGGGTTTTGTTTCGTTGAGTTTTTGCTGTATCCGATCGAGTGGTACGTACCAACATCGCCTTCCGTGTTGTTTTGTCCGACTTCTGTTTAGTGTTTCCTGATGGACCTCGCGTCGTAAACTGTCACATTTGTTCTTCTTTAAGCAACTAATGTCCAGAACTGAGTGTTATCTGGATAACAATTTGCGTTCTTCTAGTTATTTTTTGACTAATGAGTTGCAAAATTAAGGTGAATATTATAGGAGTCAAGTGCTTGGATGAAATACTATAATATCCGCCTTAAAGTTTCGGAGGATTTGTTTAAACAATTATTTGCTCTGGATCAATGTTATCAGTTAATGAGACAACACTTAGTTCTCTTTTTCTGTTTTTGTAGACGACAGTTTGTCTAACCAAAGAGCAGAAGCAGTTTCACCCTTCTGTACCCTTTGAGATAGCAATGGGACTATGTTGATTTACGTGGTGTGGAAGTCTGGGCTGCTTTCTGACCAGTCAGATTGTTGGGAGCTACAAACAGCAAAGTACAGTAATAGTGGAGTGAAGAACTTGAAGTGCATCTCTTCAACAACTTGTTAGCATATCCCTGTAGTTAAGGGGAAAACTATATCCATCTGACTCCAAGCAACACATGAATTTTCACCCAGCACGTGTCTATCTCTCCAGCTCACAGTGTGACTTAAAACAGATCTGTGTATTTCCCATCGTCTCCGCTTCTCCACTTGTAAAATGGAGATGATGACTATTCATGGGAAGACTCATTTGGGGATCCTGTATGAAGCTGTTAGCTTTTTTTCATAGCAAAACAGTTGTTCTCATGCTCCTTTTTCTGGAATGAAAGTATAGGTTTCCCTCTGCAGTTCAGATAGTGAAAAGGATCGTTCAGGTTCACGAATTTAATCTCTAGCACAGCATTTCACACTATTCCCAAGCTGTTCCCTCATTCCAGCAGAAGAGCTCCTAACTTTTCTTTCGCAGTGTCAGCTTGGAACACACTTGACGGACACAGCAAATGCCAGCCCAGATTTTCCCACAAGGAAAGGAGAAAGGAAACCAGGGGAATGTGTTTGCAGAAGTCTTGAATGTATCTCATGGAGAAGTGTGTAATATTGAATGTGTGTTAAGCACAATGTTCTAGTTTTTTTGTAGCTGTTTCTCTAACTATTGCAATGTAGATTCTGTGTGTAACATCTGAAAAGAGAAGACATCAATAAATGATGATGTATAGATTTAAGGAATATTTTTCTTCTCCAAAATAAGACTTCTTGCAGAGAAATGGCAGTATTGCACTGTACTTTGAGTACAGTATAGGTGATAGCATGCTGTGGGTATGACTGACTCTGGCTTTGCAGCTATCCAACATAAAAGTTCTCATCCAACACTGAAATGCAGGCGCAGGGCACACTTTCCTATTTCTACATGTCCAGCAGCATCTGTTCCTCCAGCAGGCAGTGCTGCTATCAGAACTGGAATAGCTCTACAACATTTATCTGAAGGGGAGAAAGGGAAGATGATATGTTCCAGAAAAGGTGGACTGAAGGAAAGCACGTACCAAAACAAAGCAGGGACTGAGAGGAGAAATTGCACACAGCAGGAGAGGAGAAAAACAAAGAGGAGCAGCGCAGTATATTAAATTTTAAAATGGATATTGGCACAGCATGTATTTTGCTCGATTCACAGTATTCTTAAAGTTTCTTGCAATACCAAGAAAAGCAATTTTAGGTTTGACTGTGTATAATGAACTCTCCTCTGAGCAGGCAGCAGAATCTATCCGAGTTCCTCCTGAGTTGGCACCAGTGTCTTTGTCTTTCATTTTTCTTCTTCACTTTCAGGCTCTTGCACATGGTATCAAGACAGGTGAATTGCTCACAAGTTCTTATCTTTTGCTTATAAATCTGCCATTCTGCCCCTGCTGTAATGTAACTTTATAATAGTAACAAAAAGGTTTAGGCCACCATCTCTTGAACATATGTTCCACCAGAAGTTTTCCAGGCAACGCTAAACCACTGCTGCACATCTCTGGTGATCTTGGGTGCAGAAGTTGATTTTATAAAGGGCTGTGGAATTTCATAAGCCCTGCTCCTGAGTGAAAGACAGGGCGCTAGCTTCCCGTTCCTTTGTATGGTGGCTGAACTTGTGACCTGATCCCCAACAATCAGCTGGAATTGCAGCTTTTCTCAGCTCCAGGTCTGTACTTCAGGGAGGACTTAGTTTTAATTTACAGAAAAATGCCACGCTGAAGACACAAGTTAGCTAAATCAGCAGAAAACAGGGACTGGAGAGGAAACTCTTGCATTGTGTTCCCCTAATTCAGTGTGTAACTGTAGGTATATCCCTTGACTTCAGCCTGTCACAGCTTCCCCTTCTGTAAAAAGGAGACAGTATCTGTAACACAAAAGCATTTTCTTGAAGCTTAGGTTCACTGATCATCCAGTATATTTCATCTTGAAAATGTGTGGATGTGGAATCTCTCCATAATAATAAAAGCTAATGGTCTCTTTGTTTCTTTCAGAATGCAGCTCTTCAGCACCTGTTCATACGGAAATCCTTCCGCCCCTTCAAGTGCCTCCAGTGTGGGAAGGCCTTTCGGGAAAAGGACAAACTGGATCAGCACTTGCGGTTTCATGGGCGGGAAGGGAACTGCCCTTTAACCTGTGACATCTGCAACAAGGGCTTCATCAACAGCGGAGCTCTCGAGAGCCACATGAAGTTCCACATGGACCAGAAAACATACTCCTGCATTTTCTGTCCCGAGTCCTTCGACCGCTTGGATCTGCTTAAAGATCACGTGGCCATCCATGTCAATGATGGCTATTTCACCTGCCCTACCTGCAAAAAACGCTTTCCAGATTTTATCCAGGTGAGATGCTG